TTTGAATAACTTTTATCATTTTTTTTTATAAAATTTTTTTTTGAAAAGTGGTTTATTAAAAAAAAAAAAAAAAAAAGAAAACAGGTGCGGAGAAACTTGTGGCCCATCGATTTTGGGCTGAACAGTGCCGAGAAGAAGTGCAGAGTCAAATATAAATATAAATCACGGAATGCACGACACAGACGACGAACGGCAACTTGAAATGACATTGACGCGAAAGATTTACACGGGCTGCAACAAGTGTTTTCATCCGAGTCGAAAGACGCATTATTCGTTCGGACGAGTGCCAAATCGCGTACCACGGCATGTCGCTGGCTCGTTCAGCGACGAACATCGCCTGTGCAACGGTCTGTGCGGCGAGATTCGTCGGATCAAAAGTCACTCGGCGAATCGCGGGAGGATCCACGCCACGTGATGGAAAAACAAATTCACGGACTTGCTCTTATCTATCTACGCGGTCGTCTTTGTTCAGTTCACGCTCGCGGGAATTGAGGAATATGAGCGGCTGATTGGAGATTCGCGTTCCGTCGACTGTCGTGGATTATTAACGTGTCGCGATGCTCGATACGCGTAATTGAATTTTAAAATTTAATTTTAAATCCCGCGGTGCGGTTCGAATCAAGCGTACGAGTTATAGGTTGCTGTATTGTAGATTCCAGAATTGAATGCAACGTGTAGAGTAGGCCGAATTACGCTGGCTGCGTTATCACGCTGGTCAACTCTATGAAAATTATTCTCTGCGGGAAGTAGAGAAAATTAATAGTGTCTACTAATATGTGTATAGTACCTGAGCATATATATATACATATGCTCAGGTACTATATATATATTAGTAGACACTATTAATTTTCTCTACTTTTAATATATATAGTGAGGAGCATAATTATAGCAATAATATACAATAAAAAATTGTGAATCATTCAAACTGATACAACTTTGTAAATTATCGACAATTTTTCATTGTTTCAACATTCAATTATTTGCAACTGTATAAGATCTCGGCGAATTATTTCATTTACTTCTGTTTCTGTCGTTTCGGTGAAGCTTGGCGCGGGGTAAACCCGCTTTGCGAGAGGAGAACGCTACGAGAGTGCCTGAGTGTCGCGCGTGGATTGCGTCACGCCTCGGAAGGTGTTAAAGTCCTCTCCGAGTAATCTTTTATTTACTCCGCCAGAGGCTGGTGTCACGGACGACGAATCACCGCGATCTAGAACCGCGGCGTTTATCCTGGAAAAAAAAACTTCATACAGGAAATTATGTAATTAGCCAGGTATACTTTGCCTTCTCGCGATACACCTTCTTGCGCACGTGGTTTTGAATGAAATGGGATAAAAAGGAGAGAAACGTTCGAATCGGGGACACCGGTTGCGTGTGAGAAACGCGTCTCGACCTCTTGTTGAAAACGTTCGTTCATTTTGTTTGTGATATTTTATCGAGCAATTAGCCTACGCGGCAGCGTTCACGCGAAAACAAATTTGGTACGTACTCTGGATGATTCACGTACAGGTGATGTTGAACGGTTCGCTGATACGCTTTGCGCGTCGGAGTTGAGAAGAAGCTTCCAATTAACGCGAATGTTCTAATTAACCGCGTCGAAATGTAATCGTTTTAAGTCGTTCGAAGAGACTGAGTTAAAGACTGACAATGAGTATGTTGTTGCTCGGGATTGGCGAGCGTTCCGGAGCAAGATCCAAGTTCATCCGATCCTTGAATATATAATACATTTTAGCTAATGAAATTTTTTTATTTTTTTCTT